TCTGGACTCTTTCCAAGAACAAGCCGGCCGAAATGGACACCCATATTCCCCAGGTCATGAAGGCGTTCTCACAGAAACTGGCCAAAGAGCATGTCGCAGCTTCCACCGCCAACCAAGGACAGTATCCACCAGGAACCAAGCCCCCGGAAGGAGTCCCAGACCAGCAAGAATTTGAGATTGGCGTGGATCTGATCTTCAAGACCATCGAGCTGATCTCCGTCCGCATGTCTCACCTTGGAGAGCAGAGACGTCCTTTCCTGAGCGTGTTGGCGCAGTTGGTTGAACGCTCCCAGAACATTAAGCTCTGCAGCAAAGTGTTGGGCATGGTTGAGACCTGGATTTTCCACTCGACCGAGTCATGGCCCACGCTCAAAGAAAAGACCGCCGTCTTGCACAAAATGCTGCTGTTCGAATCGCGGCAGGACCAGACCATGTTGAAGAAATTCCTCGATCTTGTCATCAGGATCTACGAGGATTCCAAGATCACTCGGACGGAACTGACAGTCCGCCTGGAGCACGCTTTCTTGATTGGCACCCGAGCACAGGACGTTGAGATGCGGAATCGCTTCATGAACATCTTTGACCGCAGTTTGACCCGCTTGGCCAGCTCCCGTCTCAGTTACGTGCTGACCTGTCAGAACTGGGACACTCTGGCAGACTCGTTCTGGTTGGCCCAGGCCGCTCACTTGGTCCTAGGCTGCGTTGATATGGGTTCCTCGGCGAGGTTGCACCCTGATGACTTCACCGTCTACCCCTTGTCTTTCCTCTACGGCAATGCCGACAAGGACTCGAGGAAGGCAGATGTAATGGTGGATATCCAGTTGGAGGCCTTTGTCTCTGAGCGCAAGCGGTTCATAAGCGAGATTGGGGACGTCAAAGCGCGTGATTTGGTCGAGCCCCTGTGCCAACTCCAACATACTGATCCCAATGTGTCGTACAAACTTTGGACAACTCTGTTCCCTATCTTCTGGTCTACCCTGTCGAAGGAAGACCGCATCGATCTGGAAAAGGGAATGGTGACTCTTATCACACGCGAATACCACCAACGACAACTTGACAAGAGGCCGAACGTCGTCCAAGCTTTGCTTGAGGGCGTGGTGCGCGCTAAGCCCCGGTTCAAGATCCCTCCGCATGTGATGAAGTATCTCAGCCGGACCTACGACGCTTGGTATACGGCTGCCACGTATCTCGAGGAGACTGCCATCAGCCCTATCATTGATACCCCTACTGTGCGCGAGAGCAACCTTGATGCTTTGGTGGAGGTATACGCAGGGTTGCAGGAAGATGACTTTTTCTATGGTACTTGGCGACGCCGTTGCAAGTTTGTGGAGACCAACGCCGCTCTTTCCTACGAGCAACAGGGAATGTGGGACAAGGCTCAGCAGCTCTATGAAAATGCTCAGATCAAGGCTCGCTCCGGAGCTATGCCGTTCTCTCAGGGCGAATACTATCTCTGGGAGGACCACTGGCTGATCTGCGCACAGAAGCTGCAACAGTGGGAGATCCTGAGTGACTTTGCCAAACATGAGAATCTGAACGATCTTCTCCTGGAGTCAGCTTGGAGAAACATTGAGAATTGGCAGAGCGAGGGCAGCCGGGAGCAGCTCGAATCCCTCATCAAGTCGGTTTCCGATGCACCAACTCCCAGACGCACCTTCTTCCAGGCCTTCATGGCGCTGCTTCAATTCCACATCAAGAAGGAGAACATCCAAGAGTTCAACGGTGTCTGCGATGAGTCGATTCAGCTGTCCATTAGGAAATGGCTTCAGCTGCCGAAGAGGATTACGAACGCCCATATCCCGATCCTGCAGCACTTCCAGCTGCTCGTGGAGCTCCACGATGCCAGCCATATCTGCGCCAGTCTTTCGCAGACCAATGAGCGTAACCTCGATACCAAGTCTGCGGAGTTGAAGCTGCTCTTGGGTACTTGGAGAGATCGTCTTCCCAACCTCTGGGACGATATCAATGCCTGGCAGGACCTGGTTACATGGCGGCAGCACATCTTCCAGCTGATCAACGCGACATACCTGAGCCTTTTGCCCCCGCAGACAAACAATGTGGCGAGCAACTCGTATGCTTATCGAGGCTACCACGAGACAGCGTGGATCATCAACCGCTTTGCCCACGTTGCTCGCAAGCATCAAATGCCCGAAGTGTGCATCAACCAGCTCAGCCGTATCTACACCCTCCCGAACATTGAGATCCAGGAAGCTTTCTTGAAGCTGAGAGAACAAGCCAAGTGCCACTATCAGAATCCCAAGGAGCTGAACAGTGGACTGGATGTCATCAACAACACCAATCTCAACTACTTTGGCGCCCAGCAAAAGGCCGAGTTCTACACCCTCAAGGGCATGTTCCTTGCCAAGCTCAACCATGTCAATGAGGCAAACGAGGCATTTGGTGTGGCTCTCTACTACGAGTTGAGACTCGCCAAAGCCTGGTCCGAGTGGGGACAGTACAGCGATCAACGGTTCAAGGCTGACCCAACCGACTACGAGCTGGCGAGCAACGCCGTCAGCTGCTATTTGGAGGCAGCCGGTCTGTACAAGAACGCCAAGTCGAGAAAGCTGCTCAGTCGGATCCTCTGGCTTCTGAGCCTGGACAACGAAGACGGACAGATTGCGCGTGCATTTGAGAGCTTCAAGGGAGATACTCCAGTTTGGTATTGGATCACGTACATACCACAACTCCTTACCAGCTTGTCGCATCGCGAAGCTCGTTTGTGCAAGGCTGTGCTGGTCAAGATTGCGAAGCTGTTCCCACAGGCCTTGTTCTTCCTGCTCCGTACGAACCGGGAGGATATGCTCAACATCAAGAAGCAACACGATCAGAAGCAAGAGAAACTCAATCGGGTCAGACAACAGCAGCAGCAACAGCAGCAGCAGGCTTCCCCGCGTCCCAAGGCTTCCCCGGCAACTATTAACGCCTCCCCTCTGCAGAACTCCCAATCCGCCAATCCCAGCCCGCCGACTTCTGTTCCCTCCCAGGGCGGTCAGCAACCAGCACAGAACCAGACCCAGCCTCAACCACAACCGGCGCAAGGCCAGATCCCGAACGCAGGCCAGGCCAACAACCAAACCGCTCCACAACAGACCCCTGTTCAGGGCCAGGGTCAAGGTCAGGTTCAAGCTCCTGCCCAAGGACAGGTTCCCAACCAAGGACAGCCTCAGATTCAGCCCCAAGGCCAGCAAGGCCATCTGCAGGTTCCTGGACAAAACGGAGTGGCCCAACCGAACCAGAATGCTGCTGGCGGAGAAATCGAGAAGGAGCCGCTCAAGAAGCCATGGGAGTACTCGGATGAGATCATGTCTGGCCTCAAGACCGCCTTCCCTCTGCTGGCGCTGTCCATGGAAACCATGGTCGACCAGATTCACAAGAACTTCAAGTGCCCACCGGACGAGGATGCCTACCGTCTCATTGTTGCGCTGCTGAACGACGGACTCGCGTACGTGGGCCGCATGCCCGGCTCTTATGCGCAAGATTTCAAGCTGCCGCCTGCGACCGAAGCCAATATCACGCGCTTTGCTGAGACCATCCTTCCTGCCCACATCCGCAAGTCTTTCGAGGCGGACTTTGTGGTCAAGAAGCCCACTATGTACGAGTACATCCAGAAGCTGCGTCGTTGGCGTGATAAGTTCGAAGAGAAACTGGACCGCCGGCCTCAGTCGCAGTTCTTGGAGACGTATTCTCCGCACCTGAGTGAATTCCGCTTCCTCAAGTTTGACGAAGTCGAGGTGCCTGGTCAGTATCTTCTGCACAAGGACAAGAACCAGGACTTCGTGCGCATCGATCGCTTCTTGCCCGACATTGATCTGGTACGCGGCATCGGAGTCTGCCACCGTCGCCTGAAGATCCGCGGTCACGATGGTAGTGTGCATCCATTTGCGGTCCAGCATCCCGCCGCCCGGCACTGCCGACGCGAGGAACGCATCTTGCAGCTGTTCCGTATTTTCAACGGACTGCTGGGCAAGCGCAAGGAAAGCCGGCGTCGCAACCTGTACTTCCATCTGCCGCTCATGGTACCACTGGCGCCTCACATTCGCCTGGTCCGGGATGATCCGTCCTACATTTCCATGCAAGGCATCTACGAGGACTATTGCCGCCGGGTGGGCATCAACAAGGACGAGCCGGTCATGTTCACGATGGAGAAGATGCGGTCGCTGGCCGAAACGAAACAGAACGTAAGTGATCTGGACCGGACCATGACGGACCCCACTGACGGCTTCCAGCGCACCAACGATCAGCAGCAGGTCTTGCGGACCGAGATGCTCACGGCGATCCAGGAGAAGTGGGTTCCCAGCACCGTTGTGTTGGACTACTTCCAGCGGATGTACCCGAACTTTGCAGACTTCTGGCTATTCCGGCGACAGTTCGCTTATCAATATGCGGCGATTGCATTCATGACCTACGTGATGCACATGGGCAACCGGTACCCCAACAAGATTCTGATCTCGCGGTTGACCGGTGACATCTGGGGCTCGGAGCTGATCCCTACGATCAACCCGACCAAGGCATTCTTCTACAACCCCGAGCAGGTGCCGTTCCGCTTCACGCCTAACATTCAGACTTTGCTGGGGCCGATTGCCACGGAGGGTTTGTTTGCGTGCGCGTTGATGGCGATTGCCCGCTGCCTCACGGAGCCGCGACATGAACTGGAGCAGCAGCTGAGCGTGTTTGTGCGCGACGAGATGATGTTCTGGGCGACGGCGCAGCATCGGGCCCCTCTGGGACCGCCGCAGCTGCGTGACCTCGTGTACAACAACAGCGACGTCATCGTCAACCGGGCCGTCAGCCTTGCCAGTCCGCCGGAGGGTAATCTGCCCGCGAATCAGACCACGATCGATTTGATCTCCAAGGCCGTGAACCCGCAGCATCTGGCGGCGTGTGATGCACTCTGGATGCCGTACCTGTGAAACCCGTGTTTTTCTGTATTTGGCGTTTGTTCGGCTGGGGTTCAGCCAGGGTAGTTTCATTCTAGCGTGGCGCCTGGGGAACGGGATGGATTGCTACTTGCTATTTCTATTTATTGCTATATGCATTGCTGGTGTATGATATTAATCGAATTTTCACAATGCCGTTGTGACTAATGCCGTAGAACTCTGTAATGAATTATCAGAATCAACTTGAAAGAACCCTATCAATGCCCGTATATAACTCCAGCTAATGAACCAACGCCAACCTGCAATGAGCAATTCGTAGGTAGAAGGAACCTAAACCAACGACGGCTTGGCCTTCTTCTTAATGCCCAGACTATTAGCAAGCGGCTTCTTCGCCTTCTTGACCCTCGCAAACGACGGCGGCGCCGGAGGAGGCATCTCCCCATTCGCAGCCCCCACCCCGTTCCCTTCCCTCGCAGATTCTCCCTCCTCATCAACCAACCTCTTCACCCTCTCCCCCTCCTCCGTCATAAACGCCCTCCTCGCCGCCTCCTCAATCTCCCTCTCCACCCGCTCCGCCTCCTCATCCCTCTCCTCCCTCCCCCCCACCAACGCCCCCTCCACCCCCCCCTCCCCCGCCCTCTCCACCCTCGCATTCCGCGTCCGAATCTCATCCAACGCATCCGCAATCGCCATCTCCCGCTTCGAATCGAGCATCTTCTCCTCCAACTCCGCCATCTTATCCCGTTCCATCTGCTCCGCCTCCTCCCCTTCCTCCCGCTCCAACCGATCCAACACCTCCTGCTCCGTCTCATCCGCATTATCATTCTTCGCGCTGTCCCTCCACGGCTCGAAGTTCCGCTTCGCGCCCTTTTCGGCCCGGTAGTCCATGTTCTTCGGGTCCGTGAGGAAGGTGATTTCTCCGCTGCAGCGCGTGCATCGGATGTAGAATCGGTAGATCGGGATGGAGAAATATTTTTCGGATGTGGTTTCTTTTCGAGCGTTGAATTTTCGGCCTTTGTAGATGAATTCGCCTGTCCCAAACCAGTCTATATTAGTATGGATTGGGGGAAGGGGGAAGGGGGAGGAGGGGGGGGGGGGGGGGGGGGGGGGGGGGTGGACGTACCGCATTTTGTACATTTCATGGAGAAGGGGGCCATTAGACGGACGGTGATTAATTTTGGTCCTTGTCTGGGGGGAGTTAGTGGTTATTCGCAGGTGTGAGTAGCTGGAATGGGGTATAATGTACTGTCGTAGATGCTTTGGTGTGCGTGTAATAGCACTCGGATCAAAGTCCGGGGGGTAGTATTTGCTATAGTTGATTGATGGTTAGTTGCGTTGTTCTTGGATGGAGGATGGGATGGGTGAACTTACGTGAGAACCTTTCGCTCGGACATGGTGGTGATTTACTCGAGTTGGTTTGTTAAAGAAGATGGGTTGTTTGTGTTGGAAATGGGGAAGAGTAGGTAGGCGTTGAGAGTCAGGATGAGGCGAGATGCGATGCGATGGATGCGATAATGTCATGTGACTGCGAGCTTATCTATGCGTGCATATGATTAGTAAGAGATATATGAAGGGCAGTGCACGATTCATTGTATGGCATACGGCATATGGAGTAGAATGCACAGATGCTGTATGATGGTATGTGATACTCATTTGGTATGCTAAGGGATGAACAATGATACGCCGCTATAACCGAACCATGCTATAACCGTGCCAGGCCAGGGTATATCCAAACGCCCAGTTGCTATGCTCCAAAGTCCCAATCACTAACTGTGCCTTGCGTTGCTTCGCATCCTCGACCCCCGGCTGCGTCCCTCGCTCATCTCTGTCAGTCCCTGCCGTTTGCTGCGCCCCCCGCGCACCCGGCTCATCGCCTGCCGGAGCAATCCATCCGCCTCCTCGTCGAGTTCCATCTCTACCCGCTCCCCCGCTGTCTCCTCCGTGACCGTGGTCTGACTATCCACATGAGCGACCTCGTCGGTCCACTCTTCGGCGTACGTCTCCTCTGCAGTGCCTCGTCGTCGCGAAACCCGCCCCTTCCCCTTGGAGGATCGCGTCGAACTGCGACTCGCAATGGTCCGAGAATCGTCCAGCAGTACCGGCTCCTCCTGGCCCTCCAGTGCCCATATCTCCAGCGCCCGCGACAAGAGCGTGCCAGCAATCCCAGCGCCACCGGCAGCATCTCCACCCCCGCTGGCTCCCAGAACACGCACTGCCTCGTGCAGGGCCGTCACCGCTTCCATGATGCGATCCAACTCCAATAATACCAGGCCGCGAGCAGTGTGCAGGGACCCGATCAGTCCCCGATCCTCATAACCCCCGACGCCCGACGAGGCCACGCCAGAAGCATTGCCGCCGCTGCCTCCAAGGAATGGGCTATACCCGAAGCTTGCACCCGCAGCCCCGATGCGGAGACACTCGTCGAATTCTTCCAGCGATTCTTCAAACCGGCCGATTCGGCGCAGCGCATGGCCTAAATTGGCTCTGGTCGCAACCCAGGCCGCAGGCTCGCACTGCAGCGATGTAGCTAAGGTCAGGGACTGGCGGAACAACTCAACGGCGCCTTCAAGATGATTCTGGTGATACAGAACCACTCCCAGCTCGTTCAGGACAAGCGGGTCGCCACCCAAGGAGGTGAGTTCCGACGGATTGGCGCGGACCGAGGGAGCAGAGCTTGATGCCGCGCCAGTCGACATGGCGTAGGCTGCTGACAGATATTCATGGGCCAAGGACATGTTGTTGAGTGCGAGATGTTGCATCCCTAGGAAGAGCTGTGGCAGGTGACTGCCCTGGAACAGCCGCGCGGCAGTGCTATATGCCGCAATGGCTTGATCGTGCTCTCCTTCGGCGGCAAAGGTATGAGCAAAGCCAATCCATGCTGGCGCCGAATGTGGGTCTAGGAGGGACGCTTTGGAGAAGTAGCGTCGGGCTTCGGCGATTTTCGAGACGGATAAATAGTAGACACCAATAGCAAGGTATGTATAAGACTCCTCCGGGGCATGGTCCGCTAGTGTATGAGACAGAAGAAAGAGGGCATTCGTGGCGCCCGTCTCATACAGGCACGCCAAATGCAAGGGGTATACGGCAGGCGGATGACCGAGGTGGCTTTGAGCCGGCATATGGACCGCAGGCGTCATCTGCGATGATACTGCGGATTGCGAGGTGGACAAAATCGATGATGTGAGTTCTAAGGCTTCGGCAAACCGGCATTGGGTATATAGAGCTTCTGCGCGCGAGAGGAGGATATCCGGGTTCTCCGCGAGGTTGTAGTGGGTTGACAATGTTTCGGTGGCGTCCGAAAGGATCGCCGGAGAGGAGTATTTGGACAGTCGGGTGGTGTAGAGCATTTTGGTAAAATGGGCGGCTTCCTGCGCCACCGATGGATCGGGACTGGACACCGAGTCGAAGTCCAGAGACTCGAGGAATTCCAGTTCCTCGGCGGGCGACATCAGGGAGTTCTTCATCAGCTGGTCAAACGCCTCGAAGCACTGCACATCGATACGGACGGCATCTTTGTAGCAATCGCGGGCGCGGTCAAACGCATTCTGCTTCGCGAAGCAGAGCCCCCGCAAGTAACACATTGCGGCCTCGAACCGAATATTTTGGGTATCTTCCTTCTCCCGCTCCTCGCTCCGGTCGATGCGCGACGCCGTCATCTTTCCGTTCCGTAAGGTGACATGGCTGGGGCCGTTGAGGTGTTGGAGTTTGCGGCGGCTGTTGCTGCTGCGTATCAGGTGGGTGGGATTGTGGTCGCCCAGGACCAAGAGCGCCTGGTCGAACTGGTTCTGCTTGATGTGACAGTGCCCGGCCAGATAGCGACAGGCCGTACTTCTCGAGATGAGGTCTTTCCGCGACAGCAGGGCCAGGGCGCGTGCGTAGTTGTCGTTGGAGAAATGGACCTGTGCAAGCCAGAAGGCATCGGAATCGCTGTCTAGAAAGCACCCAGGATTAACACTGCTCAGAGGGCGATGATGTTCACTTACTGGTCAGCGCGAACACTTTGTCGCCGATGTAGATGGCCGCATCATGCTGGCCCCGATTCAGCGCATCCTGACGCCAGGAGCGCAGGAACTTCTCCATGGCCGAATAGATGAGGGAGGTTCGAAGGCGAGGGGTTGATCAGGACGGTCGCATAGACTGAAAGGCATGGGGCGGGTTGGAGGGGCGACGGAGGTAAACAGACCGCGGGTCTTCGTCCAAGCCAACGGTGGCAAGCAGGAGCAGGCCGCCAAGTATGAAGTAGGCACGGGTCAATTGAGGCGCGGATCTACCGCTGCAGACTGCACCGAAGGAAGGACTGAGGGGGCAGGTAATCGAAGTGGAAGAATGAAGCTGGTCGGCTTCTTGCTGGAACCAAAGCGCGCGTTGCGGGCCCGTGCGTCTTCCCGATCCAGAACCCGGCCGGATGCTTCCAACGAGCTTACTTTCATGGATGGAGATGCATTCTTAGAAGATCTTGGTCACTCGCCATCCTACACTTACTCCTTTAGCTAGGAACAGAAACAAGCAGGTCCCTGCATACGCCACGCCACAGAACACAATCAACCCCGAATATTCCCTCTCATTCACGTTTCCTCGGTTCTGCCCCTTCAGTATCTCACCAGCCACAGGAATGGCAACCAACAAGCAGACCCCCATCAGCGAAACGGTCGTCCCAAATCGCTTGCCATAATGCTCTGTCTTGGATATTTGCGCCACGCATACTGGTGTCAAACTTATCGCCGGTCCACTCCAAAATCCGATCAGCGCCGCAAACGCCAGGATACTAGCTTGGTCGGTGCCAGCGGTGAACCACAGCCCCAGGGAGAGGATAGTACACGCAGCACAGGTTACAAACATGACGTTGAAGCGGCCCCATAAATCCGCTAAGATTCCGGGGATGACCCGGCCGACAATGGACGTTGCGCTCACGATCGTCATTATCTGGTAGGAGAGAGCGCCCGTGACACCGTGGGACTGTGCGTAGGAAGGGAAATAGGTGACTATAACTATGAGGCCAACTTCGGCGAGGATGACCGCGATGGAAGTCATAGTGAAGACCGGCTCTTTGAGCGCGCGGATGTCGATTTTGCTACCCGTTGCTGGACTAGGCGGGAGACGTGCTTTGAGGAAGACGACGCTGGTCGTGAGGCTGACCATGAATATAAACCCCAGGATGCGAATGGTCCAGGGAAACCCGATCCGGATGCTCAATATACCGAACACGTTGGTGAAAATGATTCCTCCGACACCACCGCCCGTTGTTGCAATCCCAGTTGCTAGGCCACGCCTTTTGAGGAACCAGTGCGTGATACACACGGCACTGGGGGTGTATACTGCCGATGCGGAAAGCCCACCCAGGATGCTGAATCCCAGAATGAACTGGTAGTATGCTGCCAACCGTCAAACAATGGACACTGGATGCGATGTACTAATATTACCGTGGGAGACGCTGAAAACCATCATGGACAATGACATGCCGATGCAGCCAGGGATAAGGGTATACTTGAGACCATGAGCGTCAAAGATGGGCCCTAGACCGCGTGAGTAGACGTTTAGGCTTGGGGGTAGAACCTCATACCGATCTGGATGCCTCCTAGGTAGAAGAGGAAGAGCCACAGACTGAAGATCCACGAGATGGAAGCCTTCGATTGACCGTGCAGCTGGTGTTCTGCCAGCCACTCTTCTAAGAGCCCGTTCAGGTTCATTATTCCCATCGTTGGGAAGATGGCACACCATGCACCCAGCACTACCGACCATGCCCGCCATCCTCCTTCTGGAAAGGGTGAGAGGTCTGCGTTATTGACAGAATCGCCCTTCTCGTCATGACTCGCCGCTTGGACCTCGGCACAGTCACTATCTCCAAGAGCTGGCTCCATAGTGATACCTATTGTAAGAACGAAAGGGAGGATGTCCAGCAAGCTGGACTTACTGAACTCCTAATAACGCGAGTCACATCATATTGTTCGCCACGTTGTGATCACAGCATATCGATAGTGTGGGCGATCCGCAGACTATAGCGTATCTTACTCGCAGCGAGACTACCCTTGCATCAGTAAGCCTGTTATCAATGATTTGCATTGCATCTCAACAAGATAACATCAAGTAATCATTCGTTAGCGAGGCCCACAACCAACAGGGAAGTGAAACAAGCATGCGGAATGTGCCTGCATCAGCATAGATCAACTGTGGATCCACGGCAGCCATTGAAATGGACATGAAAAGCAATTACCGGTGACCAGCCGACTGCCTATGTCTGGATGACTTCCAGAAACCAGCACATCACTAGCTTTTGAAGAAGGCTTTAATCTTTGTGCTTCTCTCTTCAGCTATCTACTTTTAGCCTGGAAACTCCCCACAGAGAATTCCCCGTACCGAATAAGCTACACTCCGCTAGCATATGCACGCCGTAGATCAGCCTTATAGTCATTCCCATCCCCTCGATCTCTCTCAGCTATACCATCCTGAACTCTGATTCAGCATAAAAGCAACCAAAACCGCACCGGACAAATCACCTACTTATCTACACCTCAAACCCTCAGAACCAAAAATAAACCACCCGAGTATTTAGTTCTCAATTAACCAGATAAAGAAAACCCCCGCCCCCACCATGTCTCAATCCACTCCCGGCACAACGCCAATCCCAATCCCAATCCCGCAGAATATAAGATCAACAACTATGCCCATCCCCAGGACCCCTTTTCTAACCACAACAATCAGCAATTGACCAAATAAAGCACAGGCGCACCGGGCTTTTTCCTGTATTCTAGGGGCTTCTTCAAACCCTTTTTAGTGGTGGGGAGCCTTGAATGGCCTCCTTAAGTAGTAGTATTTAGTATTACCCTACAAATAGGGATTTTCCGGTCTTGCTACCAAAAAACGGGTTATAAAGATGATTTGGTTTGTTGGGTCCATATCCTGAGACTATAGTATCCATCATTATATACATGTCTATCTCATTACACGCCACATATCAAACACTATCGATGAAGCGACCCGATACCTTTATAGCCAGGCACTCCGCACTCGTTGCTCATGACCGTTGCACCTATACACAGTATACTATACCAAATACCAACAGCTCAGGTCCAATGACTCACCCTTTCACCTGATATAATCCGACCAACCTCAGCGATAGTCATCGCATGCCAATCATCCCCTCCACATGCAGGCAGGGCATTCATTCCCTGACTGTCATCGTCAGGCCGTAAAGTCATTCGGAAAGCCCAATTGGCTTGATTATCAGGTTTGTTAACGTGGCCAGAGCTCTCAGAGCCTGACGCGATCATTCATGAATGAACTTTGGTTCTGGCGATAGAGTCTTGTTATTAGTATCTAACCAGACGACGGATTTTAATACTGCTAATGTAACAGGCACCATGAAATTCGGATTAAAGGAGGTAAGCTAGAACAAAACTTAGTATGAAGACTTGTGGTCTCGAGGATCGAACAGCATGAGCAAAAATAGCTAGTCTGTACCTGGAATTGGAGTGGTTCACCGGTAACTTACATGGACGTTCTATCCAAGTGTATGAAGAAGAGGCCACACTCAGCCGCAACACGCGATCCACCAAGGCGGGCCCAAGTGGAGCCGTCAACTGAGGCGTCATTCTTCCTTTTAGATCGTTGCGTGGAAGAGTGATCGAGGTCGTCACGTCAGCTCGACTTGGCCGCACGAGAGGCGAATCAATTCCAACCCCTCTTGCATGCGCAAGTCTCTTTAGCTCATGTCGTTCGAATTGCACGTCTCATGGTAATTTCAGACCTCGAAGCTAGCGATGCACAAGGCGAACCGGTCCCAACCGAATCCCGCAGATGTTCGAGAGATGGCGTGGCGCCAACTGCCTCGTTATATCCTAGCAAGTCGCCATTTTTGTATCTGGTACTGACATAGTAGTGTAGCCTTAGCACATAGTATTATGTAGGACAGGCAGTGTACTGTCCATGGCTGTGACCCAGCTGGCCGTTGGGTACAAGCAATCATGCATGGCGCACACGAGAGGCAAGGAGATTATCCAGCGTGGTCTCTGCAATATAAAGCATGAGAGACGTTGGTGTCCTGACATCCAGCAGGAGGGGCCATTGAGTGCAGCCCCCCAGCAGTGTTCATTTCATCCCGCCCTGATCATCGCGATCATCCGAAACGGCAACGCTGTTGAGACCAGCACCGCCTCATGTGGGACTGGGGCGGGATTCTGGCCGAGTCTACGAACCGTCTGTTTGAATTGGTCTCAGAATGCTCTGGAACCCCTGCGATTAGGCAGCGTCGTGGACGCAGAGGTGAATTCCGTTCTCGGGAATGGGGTGGCATAGGTCAGATCGCAATTATAGAAGCTCAATATCAAAACCGATAACGGCCATCGGCCCCCCAGCCAATCAGCTCCCGCAGGGCAGCTGGCGCCGCCGGCCGCCCGGGGAAGGATCGCCCAGCGACGACTGTTTCAGATGCTACAACCAGGGAATCGCAGCCATTGCCGCGTCATGCGTTGATGTTGCTCTCGTCCCTCCGTCTTCTCTTCCCCATGCACGGCCCCTTTCAGGGTCGACATTCCCCTGACTGGATCGCCATTATAGTACGCACATGATGGGTGCTGTCAATAACGCCCCGTTCCCTTCATTCTCCCCACTTCTTCCCCTTGACCTGGGTGCGACTGCCCTTACAATGCGATCAATCCCCCCCGGGGTCAAGCTTTCCTCTTCTGCCCATTCGCGATGGCACTCTCCGGTTGCTCTCGCTGGCGCATCCGCCAGGGCTATCTTCTTGGTCTGTTCTATACCATAGGCTTGTTGAGTTTCACTTGCATCATCGTCATCTGGTATGGCGTGAATACAGACCGCGACTACATTCATCCTCTGTTAACACAGCTGATCCCCGCCGGTCACTGTGCCTGTCAAACCTCCACCACCTTTCAGTGCTCCAGCTGCTTGACGTGTTCGCACCCGGACCTGGTCCAACAGCGCACGCCAGCACCGGCGTGGAAGTTCCAGCCTGCTCGAGATGGCAGTAACGAAGGCCTGGACCGAGGCCAATGTATGGCCGCATTCCCTGGCCTATTCGAAGATGTGCTTCGCGCCACGACCTTTTGGAAATCGCAAGGTGCGCTTGCCATCGAGGATTTGGACGAGATTCCCTTGAGATATGGCATGGCTCGAGCATTCATCCACGACGGTGAGTTGTATGTGGCTGCAGCGCGGTCAAAAGGTGAAGATCATCGGCGAAAGATCGTGGCCGTGCTGAGTGCAATCCACCGGGCGTTGGTTGCAGATACCAATCGTGCCATGCGGCAGAATATAGAGTTTGTATTTTCGGTGGAGGACAAGGTCGAAGATGTGACCAGCTCCGACCATCCTATCTGGGTTCTTGCACGGTCTGCAACTGAGGAGGCGGTCTGGCTCATGCCTGATTTCGGGTTCTGGGCCTGGGAGAATATCCAAAATTCACTCGGGCCATACGATCAAGTCGTCGAACGTATCAAACGCACGGATGTTCCCTGGTCACAGAAGAAACAGGAGCTGGTCTGGCGAGGGAAACCTAGCTTTGCCCCGAAGCTACGCCGCGCATTGATGGAAGCTGCTCGAGACCAGCCGTGGGGCAACGTGAAGCAGGTCAACTGGGACCAGCGGACAAATATCATACGCATGGAGGACCATTGTCAGTACATGTTTATTGCGCATGTAGAAGGTGAGATTCCTGGAGAGTCCTTGTTGCTGGACCCACCTGTATTGACTCTGCGTGCGACGTAGGTCGTTCCTATTCTGCATCCCTGAAATACCGGCAGGCATGCAACTCCGTCATTGTAGTGCATCGGCTGTAGTACATTCAACACCATCACTATCTCCTCGTACCGGACGGTCCTCAGCAGAACTACGTCGAGGTTGAACGGGATTTCAGCGACTTGGAAGACAAGCTTGAGCCTCTTCTGGCAGACCCGAGTCTTGCTGAGCGAATTGCCAACAACAGCGTGCGAACATTCCGGGATCGGTACTTGACCAAAGCGGCAGAAGCCTGCTACTGGCGCATGCTCTTCGAGGGGTATGGCAGCGTCTGGAATAGCAGTATTTCTGTGTGGTCGGAAGTACACCGGCGCGAACGAGGCCTCCGATACGAGTCGTTCCTTTTGATGGACAGCCGGCTGATGTTCGAATTCGACGCGCTGAGGTTGACTCACTGATGACACGGTTGGTGCTCTGTGATATTGTAAGCATGAACTGATTAACATTTTGGACTACGGAGTTTGAAGGCGTCGGAGAAGAGGATATTCAGCATTGTATAGACCCTTGCACGGCGACACTTGTTTTGAGATACCACTGGGTGGGTGCCATTTTTGATCGATAGACGTGATGTACGAATAGTGTTTGCAATACGGAGTATGGACTGGAATGTTTATGGTCTTGCATGACTGCTGTCAGGTTGCGACCATGCGACTGGTATGTCATGGTGCCGATCTGCACCTTGCACCTAGTAGACTTGGTCGGTGAGCTCCTCCAGCTTTGCCTTCGGACAGGTCCAGCCATAATGCGACCAAAATTCGGCTGAGCACAAGAAGTAACATTGCCAGGTCATCCCAAGGGGGACTGCAGCAGCTCGTATGCTGACGAGGAAGGGAGTGGTTAATCTCCTCGGGGCGGGGAAAGTGACACCTCTCAAACCTTGCCAGGGAGTCCCAGCCATCCATCAGCTTCGCTCTTCCGCGACGCGATTTGTCAGGCCAGCGGAGATTGGCTTGTCCTTGACTCGGCTAGTTCCACTGTTCCAGCTCGCCCATACCTATGTAAACTGGGTCTCTGCAGAACCCCACGAGACTAAAGTGCTTGGACCGGGTCATCGGGAGGGATCGATCGGCTGGGATGAACCATTTGGTGATGATCTCGTACGCTGGCAGCCTGGCCAGAGGTCTTGTGCAACCTGAAATCTTGCTTCGCTGGTTGTCATCGTTAACAGAGGACGCCACCAAGCCCAGGGGAGGGGAGGTTGCAGGATGAATTTCCTGGACGTGAAAAAGGGACACGGAAGAGGCGAGGAAGGAAAAGACCAGAGGAAGACGAGTGGGGATCCGATGGGGCCTTTCGGGACGGCACCAAAGCCCAAGCTGAGCAAACCATCCCTCGCAAGTAAGTAGATGGACCATCCGCTTCGGCGGGTTCTCCATCTCACCCTCGAGATAATATTTCCTGACTTGATTGGCTTTCCAGGAAGGTTTTACCATAGTACCTAGATACTCACTCAGTACACCGCAAGCCCCTATCTAGCTTTGACTTTACCCTTGTCGCAGCGCCGCTGACAAATTGATCCATTATCAGTGGCATCTCTCCTGTCGCGTCAAGCAAGGAAGCTCTCACTTTCCCCACGAACCATGATCTGTGCGCCGATCGGCTCTTCGTCTGCGACGTCTGGGCCATTGGCATCCCGCTAGTGGAGCTCCCAAGGGAGCGACCAGCCAACTATTGAAGGGATCATCGTGCGCTTCGGCGAGAATCAGCTCGGCTGAGATCTGCAGCCACACATTTGCCAGGACCATTCACAATAGCGGACGCCTCAATGGAGGTTGCACGGGCAAGAAGATGCTGCTCTGCAAGATTTTGCGTGGAGGATAGTGGGCTGGCTTATAAGTTAGCCCCTCGTCCTCACCTCTGCTGGCTCTTTTTCCCGGATTGTCTGCCTCCCCAAATCATCAATCATGTCGTCGCCGATTCCCAAGCCCCCGGGAGTTTTTCTCCTTGGCAATGTGTTCGATGTGAATGCCTCGAATCCTTGGAATTCGTTTAATAAGCTTGCAGCTAAGTATCGTGAGTCTTTCAGCGATTCTCATGCTCAGTGCCCTGGCTGACGTGAGTCCTCTTCGCTTCTCAGGTCCCATCTGCAAGGTCACTATCTTTGGCCAGGACATTGTTCTGGTCACGGGCGCTGCCCTGTTGGAGGAAATCTGCGACGAGACACGTTTTCGCAAATGTGTGACTGGCCCCATCATCGAAATCCGCCAAGCAGTCCACTCCAGCTTATTTACAGCGAAGCATAACGAAATGGAGAGTTGGGGAGTCGCGCATCGGATTATGGCACCGCTCGTCTCACGGGAGGCTGTTGAGCAGGTCTTCGCAGATATGCGGGAGGTGTCGACGGATCTGATCAAGAAATGGACTGCTGGCCCTCGCCAGCGTGTCAGCGTCACGAATGATCTGGACCGCCTCAACCACGCCGCCAACATGCTCTGCTTCTTTGACCAGCGTCTACATTGCTTGGAGGGCCCAGAACCATCTCTCATCAAAGCCATGGAAGCTGCCACTACGGAAGCTGTCCGGCGACCCTCCCGACTCAAGATCCTAAATTGGCTCGTTTACCAGCGCAAATTCGCCGCCTACAACAAAGCCCTGCGCGATTACTCTGCCGGCTGCATCGAACACCGGCGCGCCAACCCGTCCGCCAAGAAGGACATGCTATATGCTATCATGGAGGGCAAAGACCCGCAGACCGGCGAAGGATTGAATAAAACGCAGATGATTGACGAGATTATAAATGTATTCATTGGAAGCGCTACGGCACCCAACCTCGTCAGTTTCGGTCTCTACTACCTCATGAAGAACCCGCGAGTGATTGCCCGCGCCCGGGAAGAGATCGACGCCGTTGTCGGCGGCCCCGGCGCGAAGATCGAGCACGAGCACATGGCCGCCCTCCCATACTGCACTGCCATCCTCCAAGAAACCATGCGACTTGCCGCCCCCGCTCCAGGCTTCAACCGGGAACCCATCCCTTCCGATGAGGGGCCAGTCCTCCTCGCAGGCGGCGAGTACGAGGTCCCTCGTGAGCAAGCCCTCATCGCCGTCCTGTATGGTGTGAACCGTGACCCCGCCGTCTTCGAGGACCCCAATGCATTCAAGCCAGAGCGCATGCTTGGAGAAAAATACGACCGACTCCCGTCTGCCGTGAAGAAGGGCTTCGGCAACGGCAAGCGCGAGTGCATCGGAAAGCAGTACGCATGGGAATGGGCTCTTTTCACGCTCATCAGCATCATGAAGGACGTGGAGTTTGACCTGGCAGATAAGGACTATGTCACCGATGGTGCCGGTAACAACTACAACGGCGCATTCACAGTTAAGCCCCTGGACTTTTATGCAATCACCGGGCCCCGGCCTCGAGTTGGCTGAGCATTGACCCATGCCTCTTTGTTTACTTCCCACATGCCTATGATATCCAAAATGTGTGTTTATTTATAATGTATGAGATGGCCAACTCAATGATCATAATGAGGATTGACGAGACTACATCCACCACACAATGTATCTTATCCAATCCATGACTGTAACTCCATCTACCTAAGCTCCTCACTCAGCCAAAGTCTACCATATTCTATTTCTCAACCTTCAGCCACGTCCGTCTCAAATTCTCATATTCTACCCCACCCTGCAAGACATATTACCACATCATGCCTAGTATTATTATCATCCCTGATACTATCCCAGCCATAGTCAACTCCTCTCACCTTGTCAATCAATTCGGAATGCTATCACTTCTTTTTTTTTTCTTTTCTTTCTTTTCTTCTCTTTTTCTTTCTTTGTGACTCCATGCTTAGCCGTATCTTCAACGTCTTCCACATACGTACGGCTTACCCTTCACCATCTCCATTCCCATCACCACCACCACCACCAACCCTCCTCCCCAACCCCCTCATGAATCCCGTCCACCAAACTCAATTCACCCCAATGAACCCCCTCCTCACCCCACCTCTCCCTTTCCACCTCCCCACTTCCTCTCCTCATCCCGTTTCTAACCTCCCCCCTCCCCCCTAACCACCAATATACTATCTCACGCACAAGCACACCACATCACAAACATTGCAAACCTAGTCCATACAAGAAGAACCGCCACCGATGTCCCGATCATCACATACATCGACACAACGTTTTTCAGCAAGTCCAATGCTATCCCCGGGCCCGTTGTTTGATGGATGAGCGAATGAGTCTTGGGTGATGGTTAGTGGAGAAACTGTGGTGGGGGCGGGGTGGGAGTTAGTGGTTAGTTTGGTTTGAAGTAGATGACAATACTTATAGCTAGCATCAAATATAGTGCTTTGTCAGGACAACGGAATGCTAATTGAGTTGATCACAGTAATAAAGTAGGCAGTCAGATTGTCTTGAGCTGTTGGTGGGAGTACGCTACAGCTATATGCATGCAGGGTATGCAATATATCAAAACCTGTGGGTCTGGAAGTAGCTTTGGTATGCCGCTGCTTGAACTAGGAATTTAGCTACTCTTATCGAAGCGTATTGATATCAAAGTATGTCGAGGCTTACAATTAATTCAGACGCGCTAAGCGTTCGTTAGATGGGCTTTGATCTTTGCATTCCTGTAGGACACTTGAGATACCACATCATAGATGGTAGGGCTTGGTGAATCTAGATCGTGAAGAAAGTTTGTGCACAGCGAGCCTTAGGTGCCGGGGATAGTAGTAACCACTATCTGCTGTGACTCTGCAACGTTCGTTTCATCGTGCTGCGTTGCTCCTGTCTAACAGGCGCGTAGGACTTAGATTATCATTGCATCACCATCCAACTTGATAGTGGATCTGCCGTGACACACTGACTGTCACTGCAGCCGATTATAGGACAGCAAGCTAGGGAATCCTGGAGGTTCATAGGCTCGTAGCTCCTTGGAGGGCCGCGGCGCAGTGTAAGGTGTACGCGTCCTGCGGGTAAGGAAGCTCTAGATCCTATATATCAGCTTCTTGCCACCTGAGTATGTAATTCATAGAGTCTGCAGAGCTCATCCGCATTGCATGTCGCCCTATGTATCGGAGCCATATTCGGGCAGTCCCAAATCCCCTCTGCAGATGGCCTTGGTTTGCCACAAGCAGCAGACTCACTTAGCTGTGTTGGAAATATCCAAGCTCATGCTGCTTGGTAGTACTATCCAAATAGTAGGGTCTGATGGAATGTTTACCTAGCTGGGCTAACTGGTAGTTCATCGATATCGATAGCGCGTGTCGCATGTCTGTGTGATGAGACACACCAGCACAGCGATGCCACAGAATCTCTTCCAAAGCTCAGGCCTTGTTGACACATGTAGGAGGGACCATCGTCCTGCCACCTTGTGCCAGTCTAGAGGGCATCAGAATATGGAGCCCGATTCACTGATTAAAGATCTATCTTACAGTAGAACACTCATGAGCAGCAAGAGGTGATACAACAAACATCGTTACCGGAACCCGTTGGAGGGCGCACTCCAAGACGTGTCAATGCAAAGAGGCAGACGGAAGCTGGAAGTTAGATGGCATGTCCGTGAATACAGCAGATCGAAATTTCTAGTATGTCAGAGCTCATCCTTTCGAATAAAAAAGACCGCACCTCATCTTCTTGGAGCCACTTAGAGGCTGCCATGTTGGAGTCAATCTTTGGACACCGCGCCTCGATTGATATTGTCTCCATAGAATGATGGGCGCCCAGCGAAGTCAAGTCACCGGAGAATAACATAACAGGACACCAATTCACTCAAGCGACACTATGTAAGCCGGACATTTTTGCCCAGGCGATAATTTTCCTGACCAACCAGTCCTCATATGACCAGCTTTAGCGATTGGAAGCTGCCGTTACTCCAAGGAGAAGACCTTGGAAAGAGGTGACTGCTGTTCTGGAGATAGAGTAATGCCTTCTCAAAGCTCAGAACTTCAGGTGGTATCGCTTGGATCCCTTGGTGTCAGTGTTGAATATCAGGTCTTGTATTAGTGTTATAAAAAGTGCAATGACGTATGATGTGACTGCTTCCTGCAGCCAAAGGAATTATGGCAGACGGATTTTCAATCTGATCGACATTATGGAACCTGATTAATTATCTGGACGATATAGCCAATCCGAATGGATGCTTTATGTAAGATATTGACGACGCTCAGACCGAATGCATAATTCGTTATCCCATGATCAGTGTCTTAGATGCGAACAAGGAGGCCCACCAGACCACTTGGCCAACAATAGTATGTGTGAGCTCCCAACATGCTGTAGAGATGTTCATCCAATGCACTTGGTGTTGGTAACCTTGTCGCTAGGATGCCCTGTCCAACAAGCAAAATCGGTAATTTAGGATTACTGACATGTGATCGATGGGCCTATGCAAGCCTTGCCCAGGAAGGGCCAAAGGACTAGACCAGGCCTGATTCGAATGGACCCATACCTTTCCAACTCTTTGACTACCGCCGTTGCCGTAGTGTAAGGATTAGAACGGACCGTCTTAGCGACCTGTCGAGGGTATAAGTTCAGCCTATATGCATCACCCAAGTGTTCCGCAATGAAACAACGCTTTAGGCTGTCTAGTGGTCAAAGCATGGTCACAGGATGGTTCACGAGGTTAGCAGCGGATGAACGTAATTTGTAGAGTCTGCCCAATTGACAAGTCCCTGGTTGGTGCGGCCTGTAGAATCAAAGCAGCACCCAGGCGAACTCCGCAGGGTCGAGCACGAGTGAGCTCAAATGGAGCGGCTTGCGCACGGTGTCTCAGACTTGCATGATGAGTTGATCCCAGAAAAATATGCAATGTAAAAAGTCACAAAAACCTGATCAAGAAGTCAAAGGCCGACTCGAACGTGGACCATCGTAGACGAATGGCTTCAGCGCACTGGATCGGTGATGAGAAATGTTGAATAGATGGATGGAGGACGGACAGCAAGGAAGGACCTAGTGAGTCCAACCTGGATGAAAGAGTGCCACCGCAGGCAAAGGCTGCCTCTAGCCACCATCTGTCCCTCTGATCGATCGGATCAGTTGGTGGGTTGCTGTTGTCGCTTGTTATCGATCTTCCTGCAGGATCACCATAGAATCTCCTTGGATTCCGAGAGGAAGATCTCCAGGAACGGTTGATTGGCCTGGGGACATGCCTCCAGGAGGGCGGGATTGGCAACGCTGACAGGGGGAGGTCGCAATGGCACCGCAGTCTCGGAGAGTTGCTGGAAGGGAAGAGGAGCGAAGCTGAGCTGAGCTGAGCTGCCCGTGACCGCGGCCTGTCACGGGATTCCCTCCGGTCCAGCTCCTCTCATTGTTCCTTCTCTCCTCATTCTTGGTCTGGTTCTTTTCTCATCTTCCCTCCTTCTTCTCAATCCCACGCCGCTTGTTTCTCTCGGTGGGATCTACCAACCATCTTCCCCTTCTCCGACCTACTCCATACACATGGGTTGCACAAAGGCTGGATCATCTGGCAGTGTCTCTCAGCCCACTGGCGTCGAAATTTCAGTCTGAATACGAACTCCCCTGACCTCGATTCCACTTTACCGGGATCAATACCATACCATCTGTTGAGCTATGTCATTAGCCATTCGGATTGGTCTTCTCCAAGCTCGCCTACGTACAAAAGAGCTCATTGGTCCCTCGTCGAGGGGACCCCGGCGAAATTGCAATGCTGACGGCAGATCAGCCGTCACGCTGAGCGCAGGCCAGCAGAGCCACCATTCTAACACGTCCATTGACTGGCTTCCTACCTGAGGGCGAGTTGCCCCTTCTCTCGGACGCTGTAGAACCGACAGTAAGGCCTCTCTTTGATACGGCCATGATATCTAGCATGGTGTATCCCCCATCGGGGACATCCGTGGTGGGTGCTGATCCCTGTTGGCGTTGGCTGGCCACTATCCCGGATTGGTAACTGAACCAGGCAGGTCTGATTGCCCAGGCCCGAGATAAGAATACTTTCGTCCCTTATAGCGCACCATATGCGACAAAGTATTAGGACCATTTGCCTGGTCTGTACCCCAGGTGTTTTCTCGTGACGGTCTCAGTGCTTAATGATAACGTTTGTCATCTGGAAATTATACTCGGCAACAAATCAATCCTCAGAAGCCTCTTCACCTCTCACTACTTCTGATAATCCCCTACGATCATATCAACTGGAAACTGCTCCGCTTGGTCTAGGCGTGTCTCTGCAACACTTGGTGTTTCAAGAGTAGCATTCGCACCAATTAGTGGTATCGCAGAGTGTTGTTCTCGGGAGGTCACGGAGCTCCCACTGAGTGAAGTTCTGCAAGGATTCCCCGTGATGATAGGCACAGAAGATCCTGATTAGCTCTCGAGGTAATTTTCTGCTATGTCATCTTTGCCGCATAACTCGCTTACAGGATTTTCTTAGACGCTCTGGGTGGGTTGGTTGGGCGTGCATATCCGTGCATCACGGCTTGCGAGGCCGTCAAACTGTCTCACAAATCACTGCCTTGGCTCGGTGCTCGGATTTAGTGGGGTCGGGCCATGAGATGTACGTGCAACAAATCAGCTGAGGGGTCTTAGCTGGCTGATCTGGACCGATCTCTATTGTCCGACCCATTCGATATTGGGGCGGTGCCCTTTATTGATCATTGTTTGACCTAACCCAATTGACCCGCAGCGCCAAGTAAAGCCTTGCACACGCCTCGAAGCCATGGGTCATTGTTTTCTGGGCATCTCTACAGCCGAAAAAAGGCCGTGAGACATGGATCAAGGCTGCAGATTGGAGGCAGAACGTGGCCCCGAACATCACGGACCATGTACCAACGAGCCGGATGGAAAGTAGCCCATTCCACCCCAGACGCTCGAGAAGCGTGAGCCCATTGGAAAAGTAAGGTGGTTCGAGTAACCAGGCGCGGTAGGTATTCAAATACTGCCTCTAGGGCCTCCTCATTCCTTGGCCATGCCCGGGATGATGTTGCACTCATTGCGCAACCTCGTAAATCCGGATGACATAACCAATCAGACCGATCGATGAATGCCCTACAAGCTCCGGGATCTGAATCTATTGAGTCTATACGCTGAGCTGAAAGTGTGTAAGATTGTCTATAAACGAAGGTAACAAGTCTCCATATTACCGTGCCCGCAGCACATGTCTAACATTCAGTGTGAATGCTTTCAGACGATCCACCTGAACCCCACTCTTTTCTCTCAAGATTGAAACTATTCAAATCTACCTTCCTAGACATATGTCCTACTGTCTACACACTATATTCTTATCGAGATTGAGGCCGCACTCATAACTATCCAACTACAGCAGGATCCAGTTCTCGGACTTACCAATGTCCACAAAGATGCGGCCACAGCCGACAAAGGAAGACAGGAATATTAACGATGCTTCGGGACAAAAGCAAGATCCTATTGAGCGGAGAAGACTACAAAACCGGCTCTCACAACGCAATCATCGTGAGTATCTACGACAGATCAAGTTGGGGGCACCTCACTCATCAGTTAACAGGGCGTAAAATCCGGGATCGCATTGCCAAGCTTCAAGAGCGCGTTATTGCGAGTGAACTACGAGCGGCAGCCAGCTTGAATGGCTGGGATCATCCAAATACACTCACACCATCGCCAGTAGACCGGATGCCGCCTGTGTTCGACCCCGAAGGGAACGCCTCATCGCCCATCCCAGATGGTTCGTCGCTGCTGGCATCTACATATTTGCCTCAATCCAGAGTGGTCTGTTCATCCTGCAATAGCGCTCTAGGCCCGATACCTGTCTTTTCCCCGCAGCCGCCCTTTCCATCCTCATTATACGATGCCACAAATGAACTTGACGCTACTACCTCGACTGTTTTCCGAAACAGCCTTTACTATCCACGATCAAACTCCATCAACCCCGAAATGCAGAATATGGGCAATCTTTATCCATCAATGGACTCTAGCGTCCCGCCTCTTTGCGAACAATGGAACGGCCCCATCCAATACCCAGGCGGGTCGTACTATTACATAGCAACAGGTACGTCAATATTATCGTCTGATACAGTACTAGAATTCTAACAGTCTTTAAAGAGACATCCCTCCCACAAATTATGCATGCCCTGAGTACCGGGCCCTCACGCCCCAAAGCGATAATCGTTCTTCCACAAAATAATCACCCCACGGGGCTGCCGCCCGCCTTGCCTACATCGCAGTCATCGCCTCCCGGAACTGCAGTTGAGCTGCCAGCGTCGTCGAGCCCATTGAGTATACATGATGCCCCATGTCAATGTCAGAGCCAGGGTTTGATGACACCGGGTGAATGGGTAAGTTCAGGGACAGCTGCCCCTATCTGTCCGGTACACCAGATGCAGACTGGGGACAATCTGCAGTTGATGATGCTTTGATGGCCTACGACATATACACGAAACTGGTTTCCAACACGAAAAATAGATGAAACCCAGGACGGACATATTTACGGACTAGCATTTCCACTTTTCCTATACCTTATTGCATCCAGCAAGAATAGTGAATGTCTGATCTATTTCCAGTTCTATCAGCCTCATTGCATGGCATCCGCTGACCCGATCTCGGAGATGTTTGCCATTATCAAGTCAGTCGGAGTTAGTTCACATGCACTAATTTCAAATAAAAGAAAGAATACGCCCCAATCGCCCGATAGGAAATATTCCACCCTGTAGTTTCCAATGAACTATAGCCCCGAGACAGCCATTGCCGCGGAAGGGTGGCATCCGTGTTTGTCTCTATTGCCCTTGTCCTTGCCACAGTCTCTATATTGGCATTGTTCTATACCTGATGTATTCCACACACGAAGTATGTATAAATCTCACTCCCCCCTCCTGTCCCCTTTGCCCCACACGAACAACCACCATTCCTTACTAGCTTCTGTATAAACAAGGTCTCTACTCCAACCAGGGACCATGTGAAATGTACCTGCATGAACAACACATTGTATGGTCCATCATCATCTTCAACATCATCGTAATTCTCTTCAACTAGTAGCCCTTATATCAGCCCCAACAGGCGCCACCGGGCCTTAGCTAAAGCCAAAGGCAAGGCCAAGGGGGCAAAAGCCATTTCAATCCCACCGACCCCATACCCACAAATCCACATTATCTACATCCACTTACATATCCTCGTGAGAGATGCGAATGTTGTGCTCTCTTCTCGAATCTCGCGTGGAGGAAGGGATCTGGATGTATTGTAACCTGTACCTACCCGCGATAAGAACCGCCCCTGGACATTCAGAATGATTTTTCTTCTGACCGGACTAAGGTAAGTAGGCAGGTAGGTAGGTACATGTGGCGGCGTCAGGTAGTTCTGCATTAGACAGATAGGTTAATGTATGTAAATGTAGCCGGAACAAGGGTACACGTACATTGCTAGTGTGTTTGATCGGTATGGGTAGGGGTGATAGGCCGCGCGCCACATTTGTGTAACTGTCATTGCCGCGGCCCCCATCCCGCTCAAGCGGGGTTTCGTTTGCCATTGCCACGTACGTGTGTACTGAGAGGCTGGATGTGAGGGTGAGGTGGCTGGCTAGCTGGCTTGAATTGGATTGGTTCGGTGATGGAGTTCGATTTAGCTTTTCGGGTGGTTGGCGATAGAGTTCAAGGTCCTTCCGTAGTGATTGAAGATGGTGAGATCTAACTTTCATCAAGATGTGGTTCAGTGGGAAACGATTGTTGATTGATATTAGGAAACGAAAGTACGGGCGTTCTCCGGGCAGCTCGATGCGGAAATAAGTTCGACAGGTCGGTTTAAGCAAGAGGGTAGTGACTTCTCACTGCTTCTTGGGGTGTTGACTGGATTAGGCGCCTGCGAGGCCCATACAAGCCTTTGGTAACTGACCAGCTGTTGTTGATTGCCCATGGTTGTTTGTGGTCTGGCGCCAATAGATAATGGCATAGCGTGTACGTCCCTAAGCAGGCACGAAACTTGCAGACCGCCATATGTCGCGAAGACCCGTTGATGAAGAATTTCGTAGATGATGCTTGGTTGCCTTAAATCCCCGATTCTCATGCCGATTGAGTGGATTCCAAAGGCTTTCGGCAGAAGCCGCCCAGGGGTTCAAGGGCAGCATATTGATCCGGACATTTATCCATAGTAAGTGGATACACGGACTATTTTTAAGTCCAGGAAAAGGAGTGAAAAAACTTGGGAAAAGGAGCCTTGCCCTGTTTGATATCATTGCCACGTCCTTTGTGTCTGATCTTCGAATCTGGCGAAGCTATAGGCGCTGAATCCGGTAGCCCTAATGATTCTAAGTATCGAATGTGGCGATTTTTGATGACTGTCTAGTTCTTCTAGTGCACGTCAAGACATACTTATTGATCACGATAAGCACAGCATGGTAGGATGCACAGTTTGCGGTAGGGCATGCACCAAGGTCTTTCATACTTGTATTTTCTCGACCGTTGGCCTACCGACTCTCAGCAACAATATCTCAAGTATCTTAATGGAGTCGTTCTAAGACCAGCCTTACACACACCAAGCTTCATCGAGACCCATTCCGCAGGCATTTGCAACAGTGACGGTTTCGTAGAGACGAGGCATATGTGGGTTGGCTACTGATGCCATCGGTGCCGTTGCGCTTATTTCTGTAGCAAGGTAGGCAGATCAGCATGGTCCTAATGAGCAGATATATGCATCACTTATGGTTGGGGAATCTATACTGATGACGAATCATCAGCCGATCTCATTCTGGAAGATTCTGTCTGAGATGAATTTGGGTTGATTCTAGTGAAAGAAGTTAAAATCCACCAAAACTAGATTTACCGGTGGAGCTTTCCATGAAGAATATGTGTGTGAGAGAGAGGGTTATTCTTATTTTGTATTTGACGGGTTATGGTTCTGATGACACTCCTCTAAATGTTAACAAATCGAGCAACATTGGAGAAGGACACAGAATCGATACCGGTGGGCACGACTTACTAGATGAAAAACACACTTGACATAGAACTCTTTGTAGCCCTATGAACAAATTAGGGCCGTACAAGTAATCTGAACGCTCCATGACACCTACTAACCACCCAGAGCTTGATATTTGTAGTTGGTGACCCACATTATACTAAGATTTCTCGAGTGTAGCCTAGCTGAATCTCCCGTCTTGGATCTGCTGAACGCTTTTGAGTGTGAAAACATTGTCAGGTTTCCAAGGTGTGATCCAATGAAGCCCCCTAGAACAGGCCCGTTCTCAGGTCAGAGCTTGATGGGGATTAGAATAAGAGGATGAAGATAGTAAAGACGCGGCGGTTGGAGGAGAGGAGGCGGGAAAGAGGAGATGGAAAGAAGAGGTAATGAGGAAAGAGGGAAGGGCGGCTCAGAAAAAAGAAGCAGAAGAATCAGTGAACAAGGATATCTTTTCTTCAATTCACCTACAATACCAAGACCACCAGAAATCACCTAAAGCGAAATCAAGAAAGATTCTGTTGCAGACAGGGTAACAGAGTAACATTCTGTTCCGGACCATTGAAAGGCAGGAAAGCCGCCTATATCATTTAAGCTTGGCCATTCCAGTTCAGTACTGCAAATTGAGAATCAGATACACTCATAAAACCTATATATCAGAACACTAGAGTTCGCATAGTGGACATCGCCTCAGATTATCATGGCAGCCCCCCTCCATTATACTGATGAAATCCATGATTCCTTTCCCACCCAGGCATATGAATGTTGAAAAAGCGACCGTTCCCCTCCCTCTCGGTCCCTAAAACAACATTCAAGGCACCCTCATTTCCCAGGTCTACAGGCAGATCCGCGCCAGTGCCCCCCATATCTGTTTCCACTACTTCAGTCCGTACGCTATCACATCACGACTGTACGGACACTTACGCCAGGGCTGATGCAGAATGCTGTGAAGTCCTCATCATCCAAGCACGCGACTACAGCAGAGTCAACATGTTCAGTGCGGCTTTGGATATCTTATAGGATGGGGCCGGGTAGCGTTGTAAGTTCTTTTGCAAGGAGAAGGAACCGACGCTGGTGGATCTGGGACAGTCTGGTAGAGATTATTCAAGAGTCGAGAGGAAACCTTGCATGGTGGTTATCTTCTTCGCGTTTTCTTTTCTGAGCAGTGGTAGGAATGACTTGGTTACTGCTTGAGGGTCGATGATATTTACTCGAAGTCTAGCCTCAAGGTCATACATACTGCGTCTCAGACAAATTTGCTAACTGAATCGATAGAAGTTCGAGGCCGAGCACGCACGTCTCCTCAAGCGATCCAAGTTTTGACACGCCAGCATTGTTGATCAAGACCTCGAGCCCCTTTCCATCGAGCTTGCTTTCCACCAATTTGGTGGCCCTCGCTACACTATTTTCGTCTGTGGTATACAGAGGGATGAAGATGACATGGTCAGGATGCTCTCGCATGAGCTCCTGGAACTGAGAAGCATTGCTTGTGCGGCTGTAGCAAACACAAGCTGGACTTCAGAGACAAGCTTGATGATCAACTGTCTGGCCAGTTCGAGACCGATGCCTCAAGAGGAGCCAGTAATCAGAAATGAAGACATGACCAGGAAATACAAGAAGATAAGATGGGAGATTAAGTGATTCTGGGGTGAATGCCGACTACTTATATCTCATCCAATTCGAGTGCAGACAAAATCACTGGGATACTGCAGAGACACAATATGTGTGCCAATGAAGTAAACAATAGAGTATTTTGGATCTTCTTGAGTTCTGATCGGTCCCATGATAGATAAACTACTGGCAGGCCATGAACCCTACGGAGTTAGCATATCGGTGTCCGTATGACCAGCAACACTCGGTGATGAGTCGGAGATGGCGATTCTATAAATTATCAGGTCCGTGCAAACCACACCCGAAAGCGTTCTCCTCAAACACCTTATACTCGTCCGGAACGACTGGTGGAGAGCCACTCATCGGGATGTGGACAAGAAATGCATGATCCCGCATCTCCGCATCACGAACTATAAAACAACCATAGACATCCATTATAGATGAACATAATCAACTAGCAAACCAAATCCGCACAGACAGTATAGAAGAAACAGAACCATGGCGTCCCCCTTCTACTCCCACCACTTCTCCATCCACAACCTCCCCTACGGCATCGCCTCCTCCCCCTCCCATCCAACCCCCCAATGCGCAACCCGCCTCGAAAACACCATCATTTTCCTCGCTGACCTTCAATCCGCTGGGTTCTTCTCCTCCATCCCCTCCCTTCCACCAGACATCTTCTCCCACTCCACCCTCAACCCCTTCGCCTCTCTCCCCCGAACCACCCAAACCCAAGTCCGCCATGTCCTCCAATCCACCCTACAGTCCTCAACCCCCCTCCCCGACACAAGCACCTCAGACATCACCACCGTAACCATGCACCTCCCCGTCTCCATCCCCTCCTTCACCGGTACATT